ACTGAACAACGCCAGCTCCCTCAGCCGCCCCCCATAAGACCCCATTGTGCTCCAGACCCCTCTCAGCTGTGTTGCCCCGCTCCAGGGCCTCAATGTCTTTCTTGCAGTGAGGGGCCCAAAACTGGACGCGGTGCTGAGTGCAGGGGGTCAATCACTGCCCTGTAGTGGCAGTGTAGGCCAGCCGCGCACGCTGCTGGCTCGTGTTCAGCCCAGCATCAGCCAGTGATCAACACCCCCGGCTCCATTTCCTCTATGCAGTCCTCCAGCCGCTCCGCCCCGAGCCTGTAGCGCTGCCTGGGGTTGTTGTGGCCAAAGTGCAGGACCTGGTGTTTGGTCTTGTTGAACCTCATCCTGTTGGCTTCAGCCCAGCTCTCCAGCCTGTCCAGATCCCTCTGCAGGGCCTCACTACCCCCAGGCAGATCGGTGCTTCCAGCCAGCTTGGTGTATCTGCAAACGTACTGAGGGTGCACCCAGTGCCCTCATCCGGCTCATCAGTAAAGATCTTGGAGAACAGGCCCCGGCACCGACCCCTGGGGGGCACCACTGGTCACCAGCTGCATTTTGCTCCATTCACCACCACTCTCTGGGCCCGGCCCTCCAGCCACTTCCTCATCCAGCCAAGAGTGTCCAAGCCACGGGCTGCCAGCTTCTGCAGGAGGATGCTGTGGGAGGCAGTGCCAGAGGGTTTGCTGGAGTCTAGGTAGATTACATCAACAGCCTTTCATCTACCAGACGGGTCACAGATCATAGAATCACAGAATCACAGAATGGCCAGGGTTGGAAGGGACCTCAAAGATCATGAAGCTCCACCCCCCCCGCCACAGGCAGGGCCACCAACCTCCACGTTTCACAGCAGCCCAGGCTGCCCAGGGCCCCATCCAACCTGGCCCTGAACACCTCCAGGGATGGATGCCCATCCACAGCCTCTCTGGGCAGCTGTTCCAGCACCTCACCGCTCTCACAGCAAACAACTTCCCTCTGACACCCAGCTGAAATCTGCCCTCCCTCAATTCCAGCCATTTCCCTTGTCCTGCTCTCATCTCCCCTTCCCAAGAGCTGACTCCCCTCCTGTTTTTGGGCTCCCTTTAGTACTGCAGGCTGCAATGATTCACCCCGCAGCTTCTCTTCTCCATGCTGAACAAGCCCAGCTCCCTCAGCCTGTCTTTGTAAGGAGATCAGGTTGAGCAGGACCTGCCCTTGGTGAACCCGTGCTGACTAGGCTGATCCCCCGGTTGTCCCACTCATGCTGCATGACCTCCCTCAGGACAACCCGCTCCACAGCCTTCCCTGGCACCGAGGTCAGGCTAACAGGCCTGCAGTTCCCCGGATCCTCCTTACAACCCTTCTAACCCTTCTTGTTGATGGGATGGCGGAGCTTCAGGGTTCTGTCGGTCTTGCTCAGCATCTTCATCGGTGACCTCGATGAGGGGATGGTGTAATCAGCATAATCACTAATTGCACTGATGATGAAAAGCTGGGAGGAGCAGCTGATGCAGCTGGGGGCCGTGCTGCCATTCAGCAGCACCGTGGGCAGGCTGAGAGCTGGGCAGCAGGAAACCAGATGGGGTTGGACAAGAGCAAGTGCAGGGTCTTGCAGCTGGGAGGAGTAACTGCACTGGGGCTGAGCTGCTGGAGAGGAGCTCTGCAGAGAGGGACCTGGGGGTCCCGGTGGGCGACAGGTTGGCTGTGTGTGCCCTGGTGGCCAAGAGGGCCGAGGGGACCTGGGGTGCATTAACAGCATTAAGAGGAGCGTGGCCAGCAGGGCAAGGGAGGTGATCCCCCCCCTCTGCTCTGCCCTGGTGAGGCCACGTTTGGGACACTGTGCTCAGTTCTGGGCTCCCAGCACAAAACAGACTGGGATCTCCTGGGCAGAGTGCAGCGGAGGGCACAAAGGTGATGCAGGGCCTGGAGCATCTCCCTGTGAGGAAGGGCTGAGCGACCTGGGGCTGTGCAGCCCTGAGAAGGGAAGATGGGAGGCCATCTGATCAGCGTCCGTAAATCTCTGAAGTGTGGGAGCCAAAGGGACGCGGCCTCTTTTCAGCGGTCTGTGGGGACAGGACGAGGGGAAACGGCCGCAAACTGGAGCCTGGGAAGGTCTGCACCAATGTGGGAAGGGGCTGCTTCACGGTGAGGGTGATGGAGCACTGAACTGCCCGGGGAGGCCGTGGGTTCTCCTTCTCTGCAGATGTTGCAGAGCCTCCTGCACGCCGCGCTGCGCAGCCTGCTGCAGGAGCTGCTCTGCAGGGGGCTGGACTCAATGACCTCTGGAGGTCCCTTCCAACCCCTACAGCTCTGTGATTCTGTGGTTCTCTGCTGTGCAAACTGAATTGATAAATGTGTGTGTGGGGGGTGTTCAAATCCTGTGCAGCCAAAGCAGGAGGAGGAAACCCCCCATCCTCCCCCTGGGTGGTTGGTGGGCTGCAGGGCAGGGGCTGGAACTGGATGATCCTCGGGGGTCCCTTCCAGCAGAGGCCATGCTGTGGTTCTGTGGGCGCCTTGCAGACACAGAGCTGACCGTTCCCCTCTCTGCTCTTTCCCCAGAGCAGCTCTCCAGCCTGACCCCCAAGGATTGCCCACATCTCCTCCTTCAAGCCATCTCAGGGCCGCTCGCCGCCGCCACGGCTTCCACGCTCACCAACCCCATGGATGTCATCAGAGCTCGGGTTCAGGTACGGCTCCACGGCTGCCCGCAGCATCCATGCTCAGCACCTCAGGACGCCCTTCCCTGGGGGTACAGCTCAGTGCTGAGGCTGCAGCGATGAGGAGAGGGTTTAAGAAACCCATTTAGCACTGCCTGGGGGGCCTGCTGCCCTCCTCCCCCCATGAGGTTTGCACAGAGGGGCCGGTTGGTGGCTGTGTCCAATCCCTCCTCTGGCTTTGTGATGGAACAGCTCCTCCTCTGTGCTGCCAGCAGGCAGATTGAGGAGAAGAGGGTCATTGTGGCAGTCAGCATGGCTTCACCAGGGGGAGGTGGTGCTTGAGCAACCTGGTGGCCTTTTCTGAACACGTAACCGGGTGGACAGGTGATGGCAGAGCAGTGGATCTTGGATTCAGTAAAGCTTTTGCCAGCATCTCTCATAGCATCCTGACAGCTAAACTGAGCAAGTGTGGTGTGGATGAATGGGTGGTGAGGGGCACTGTGAACTGGATGAAGGGACAAAGCCAGAGAGCTGTGGTCAGCTGGGATGGAGTCCAGCTGGAGACCTGGATCCAACGGGGTCCCTCAGGGTCGGTGCTGGGATCAGTGCTGTTCAGTGCACACAGCAGTGACTTGGCTGAGGAAATAGAGTGCGCTGTCAGTTTGGTGATGGCACAGAGCTGGAGGAGAGGCTGACGCGGCAGAGGCTGTGCTGCCATCCGGGCAGAGCTGGGCAGGGAGAAATTGGATGAGGTAGAACAGGGGCAGCACAGAGCCTCGTGTGTGGACAGAACGGCCCTGGGTGCCGGAATGGACTGGGAACTGGCCTGCTGGAGAGCAGCAGAGGGGAGAGGAACCCGGGGGTCCTGGTGGGCAGCAGGAGAACCACGAGCCAGCAGCGACACCCAAGGCAGCACAGGGGCAGTGGTGCCCACTGGTACGTGGGAGGTTCCATGTCAGCATGAGAGAGAACTCCTTCACGGTGAGGGGGACGGCACCGACGTGCCCCAGTCTGGGTGCTGCCGCCCCGGGTTGGGCTGGGTGAGCTTTCCAGGTCCCTCCCAGTCCCTGACATCTGTGCTTCTGTGCCTTGCAGGTGGAAGGCAAAAGCTCCATCGTGCTCACCTTCAAGCAGCTGATGGCGGAGGAGGGACCCTGGGGGCTGACCAAAGGCCTTTCCGCCCGCATCATCTCTGCCACCCCCTCCACCATCGTCATCGTGGTGGGCTACGAAACGCTGAAGAAGCTGAGCCTGCGCCCGGAGCTGATGGACTCCCGGCACTGGTAGGGCTGGTGGGGGTCAGCAGCTCCACAGCCACCTTTGTGCTCGGCACGGGCAGCAGCTGCAGCAGCGCAGCTCTGGGAGCCACCCTGAGCTCCACCAGCATTTCTGCCCGGCGCCGCGTCGCACGGAGCCCTTCGTGCCCTTTCAGAGCCCACAGCCTCCACCTCCTGTCCCCTTTTCTGCCTTTTCCAAACCCACTCATGGGTGGCACGGACGGCGGTTCAGCCCCGCGTTCCTCGGCGGCTGCTGGAGGTGCGAGAGCAGCGCGACCCGGAGCCGCTGCAGCCCTCATTGCTGCCCCGGACGGTTCTCAGCGTTATTTCATGCTTTCTGACGGCCGCGCCGGGCGCTCGTTCCCACGTTTTGTGCACTTTACGGACCGGGGGCCGTTGGGGCTCCGGGGATGGACGCATCGCCCACGGCTCCGCTCAGTGGGACGGGAGTGACCCCGGCGGAGGCCCGGGGCCGTCCTGAAGGAGCATCGGGGCGAATAAAGGCGCGTCAGCCGCGTTCCGCTCCGGTTCCACTCTGGCTCTGGTTCTGCTCTGATTCCGCTCTTGTTCCGCTCCCGTTCCGCTCCTGCTCCTCTCCTGTTCCACTCTGGTTCCTCTCCCATTCTGCTCCCGTTCTGCTCCCATTCCATTCTGATTCTGCTCCAGCTCCTCTCCTGTTCCACTCCAGTTCCTCTCCCATTCTGCTCCCGTTCTGCTCCAGTTCCACTCCAGCTCCTCTCCCGTTTTGCTCCGGTTCCACTCTGGGTCCTCTCCCGTTCCTCTCCTGTTTCGCTCCGGTTCCTCTCCCGTTCCACTCAGGCTCCTCTCCAGTTCCGCTCCAGTTCTGCTCCCGTTCTGCTCCGGTTCCACTTTGGTTTCTCTCCCGTTCTGCTCCAGGTCCACTCCTGTTCCACTCTGATTCTGCTCCTGCTCCTCTCCTGTTCCACTCCGGTTCGTCTCCCGTTCTGCTCCCATTCTGCTCCGGTTCCACTCTGGGTCCTCTCCCGTTCCTCTCCCGTTCCTCTCCCGTTCCTCTCCCGTTCCACTCAGGCTCCTCTCCGGTTCCGCTCCTGTTCTGCTCCGGTTCCATTTTGGTTCCTCCCCCGTTCTGCTCCGGTTCCACTCCTGTTCCACTCTGATTCTGCTCCAGCTCCTTTCCTGGTCCACTCCGGTTCTGCTCCAGTTCCGCTCCAGCTGCTCTCCTGTTCCACTTCTGGTTCCTCTCCCGTTCCGCTCCCGTTCCGCTCCCGTTCCGCTCCGGTCTCGTTCTGCTCCGTTCCGCTCCCGGACCCGCGCGGAGGCCGCGGCCAATCAGAGCCGTGCGCGATGCGGCGGCGTTGACCAATCGGGAGTCGGTAGTGACCGATCGCGGGCGGGCCTTTCCTCGACGCGGGAGCCGGAAGGCGGAGCTGTCTCTGCAATGAGGCGGCGGCCAATCGGCGGAGGGGGCGGGAGCCACGAGGAGGCGGTTACCAATCGGCGGCCGGCCCGGCTCTGAGGTAGCGACCAATCGGTGCAGGGGGCGGGCCGTATGAGGTGCGGAAGCGGGCCTCTCACGGGCCAATACGGGGCTGGCTCCGCCCTGAGGCGGCGGCCAATCGGAGGCGGGGGCCGGCGCCGCGCAGACTAACCAACCAATCGGCGGAGGGGGCGGGCCGCACGAGGGGGCAGTAACCAATCGGGCGGCGAGTCCGCCCCGAAGCGGCGGCCAATCTGAATCGAGGCCTTTGGGCGGCGGGAAATGGCAGAGGCGGCGGCGGCGGCGGCGGCTGAGGCTGAGGGCGGGGATGGCGGCGGTCCGGGCCGCGCGGCGCTGCTGGCGGCCGTGGTGGACGCCTTCCTGGAGAAGCTGCTGGCGGCGGGGAGGTGCGGGGCGGCGGGGCGGCGGGGCGGCGGGGCCGGGTGGAAGGGAGGGGGGGTTGAGGTCCGCCGTGACGCCCCGGCCGCCGCTGCCCGCCCCGCAGTTACGAACGCTTCGCTCAGTGCTACCGCCGCTTCTACCGAGCGCAGCCCCACGTGACCCGCAGCATCCACGAGCAGCTCCTGGCGCAGCTCCGAGCCGCCGTCACGGTCGGGGGGGGAGGGGGGGCTGGGGGGGGCGGGGGGGG